TCTCTCTCTCTGTCTCTCCCTCTATCACTCTCTCTTTAAAAAAAATAATAATCATTGTCACCATAATGCACAATAGACTTCTTGAACAAATTCCTGCTGTGTAAATGAAAATTTTCATCCTTTGACTAAAATCTCTTCAATCTTTCCAACCCTCAGCTTCTGATAATCACCATTTTACCCTGTTTCTATGGGTCTGACATTATCAGATTCCACAGGTAAAGTGATATCATGTACTAGTAGTTGTCATTATGTACCAGATTTATTTAACCTAACAAAGTGTCCTCCAGCTCCTCCCTGAAGTCAAAAATGAGAGACTTTACTTTATTGATAGATATATTCCATTTTATCCTATGCCATATTTTCTTTATCCATTCATTAGTTGATGGATGCAAGGTTGATTACATATATTGACTATTGAGAGTAATACTGAAATAAACATGAGAGTGCAGATGTCTTTGTGATGGGCTGCTTTCTTAACTCTTGGATATATATCCAGTAGTGTGACAACTGGAACAAATGATAATTCTATTTTTAATATTTTGAGGAACTTCCGTATCATTTTCCATAACGGCTGTGCTAATAATATCTCACCAGAAATGTGCAAGAATCCTCTTTTCTCTATTTTCTAACATTTGTTTATGTTTATTATGATTTATATGTGATGTGTTCCACAAAAGCTCATGCAAAAAAGTTTAGAAGTGAAATGGTTGTGTTACGAAAGGTTTAACTTAATCAATGTATTAATTCCCTAATAATCCCCTAATAGGGATAAACTGGGTAGCAACTGTAGGTAGGTAGGGTGTGGCTGCAGGAGGTGGGTCATTGGGGCATGCCTTTGGGGAATACGTTTTTTCTTTTGCAGAGGGGAGGGCTCTTTCTCTGCTTTCCTGTTCAATGTCCTAAACTGTTTTTCTCTGCCATATTCTTCTACCAGGATATTCTGCCTCATTTGTGGCTCAAAGCAATTGAGTCAGCTGTCTATGGATTGAGAACTTTGAAAACATGAGCCTCAAAATAAATTTTTTTCTCCTCTAAAATTGTTCTTGTCAGGTCTTTGGTCAAAGCAGTGAAAAAGTTTACTAAATGTTAATTTATTATAGTAACTATTATAATAGGTATAGA